TATTTTTATATTTATTTAAATAATTAAAATTGCTTTAAACTTTTCTAATTTTATATATTAACTATTAGCTAGCTATTGTTATAGTGTAAACTTATAATATTACACTAATAATTTTGTAGAACAATACTTTATAATTTATAGTTTATATTTTAGGTATAATTCTGTTAAATTATATTAGAATTTATATTGTATTTAGAATAGTTAGAATAATAGAGTGTATACCAGTGTGTGCTATATGCTACTATGTGCCATATGCCACTATGTGCCGTATACCACTATGTGCTGTATGCCACTGTGTACCATATGCCAGTGTATGCTACCTGCTACATGGTTGTATGCCAGCATATGCCACTTGCCATATGGTTGTATGCTAGTGTATATCACTACACAATTATATTAGTGTATCTCACATTGTTGTATATCAATGTATATCAGTATAATATATATAGTTATATGCCAGTGTATGCCAGTATATCTTACATGGTTGTATGCCACTATATGCCAACCTAACAGATATTTAAAGGAAGGCTTTTCCCCTTTATCTCAAGAAGATATTAGACAAGTAGCTAATGAATATTAGGTATTAGACAATAATATAAATACTAATGTATTAAATAGAAACAGATAAATAATACCCTTTGGAATATGTTCTTTAAATATTCTTGTAATATTTTCTTTGTTCTAATGACCTTGTATTGTCTTTATTGTCTCTAAAACAAGTAAATAAAACCTTCTGCTAAAACTCTCTCTTTGACTCTTCTTTACAAGTACTGCTGTAACACTATTTAATTATAGTATTAATAAAATATAAAATTAATTTATACTATATATAATATTCAGTGAATATTTAATAAATATTCGAATATTTATTTAAAATTTTTCAATAAATATTCGAATATTAAAAATATTAAACAAATAAATATTCGAATACAAATTTTTTAACTGGATAAGACCTCTATCTTGTATGACTAACCTGATATTAGCCTTCTAGCCTTAAAAGAATATTTCAAACCAGTATAGCAGACTGTTTCTGGATACTCATAAGATAGTCAGGGAATATTAGATATAGATATTAAGCTTAATATTATATAATATATTTAGGATATTGCTATTTATACTATTATTTTTGCTGTTTGCACTATGTTAATTGTTAAAATTTTATTTTTTTTAATAAACTTGTTTATTTAGTTATAAATTTCAGTTAAGAAGTTATTAAAATATTCTTTAGCTAAAAAATTTAAATATTATAAACAAAAAACTAACAAAAGTTTAGTATTTAGAATGGTATAAATAGCAAAAATAATGGTGTAAATAGCAATACTCTATATTTATATAATAATCTTAATAAAGAATTACTGACAAGGTTGTCAAAGATTAAAAAAAAATAGTATACAAATTTAAAAGCCAAAAAAATTAAGAACTAAAATTTAAAAAATTTAAAAACTAAATAAAGTTGTAATTATATTTTTAAAATATTATTAAATTTAGACTAAAACTAAAAAATTAAAAATTAAAAAATTTAAATTTAAATTTTATTTATAAAATATTTTTAAATTAAAAAACTAAAACTAAAAATCAAAATTTAAAATTTTAAAAGCTATAAAAAGTAAAATTGTGTCTTTGTAACATTATTTGAACTTAAGAGCTAAAAAATTAAAAAAAAACTTAAAACTAAATAAATATAAAATTTTATTTCTAAAAAATTATATAATCTAAATATTAAAAAATTAAAAAATTAAAATTTAAAAACTATAAAAATTGAGACTATATTTCTGAAGTATTGTCTAAACTTGAGAGTTAGAAAACTAAAACATAAAAATTAAAACTAATCCTTTGGATATTGTCTAAGTCTAAAGCTAAAAAACTAAAAATTAATTTTTAAAAAACTTAAAAACTATAAAAATTAAGACTGTGCTCTCAAGATAATATCCAAGCCTAGAGCAAAAAAATTATAAATAAATTATAAAATTTAATAGCTATTATAAAAAAATTAAATCTTAAACCTTGGGCAATATTTATATTTAAAATCTAGAAAACTCTAAATTACAAATTAAAAAACTTAAAACTATAAAATTTAAAACTATACCTTTAGAGCATCACCTGGGCCTAAGAGCTAAAAAATTAAAAAACTAAATTTAAAATACTTAAAAACTAGAAAAAATTTAAGATCACACCCTCAGAACATCACTTAGGTTTAAAAGTTAAAAAACTAAAAATCAAAATTATCAAAAACTTAAAAACTAAAAAAATTAAAATTGTGCTTCCATGGTATCACTTAGGCCTGAGCTAAAAACTAAAAACTAAATAAAAAAATTAAAACCGCATCCCTGGGCATCACCCGGGCCTAAGAGCTAAAAACTAAAAAACAAATATTTAAAAAAACTTAAAAACTAGAAAAAATTGTGACGTGACCCCGGGGACTTGAAAGCTAGTTTATTCGGTCATTGGCAATTTTTCAGTTGTCACAGGATTTATGATAATAGTTGTAAGTCAAAAAACCTGAAATGAGTATCCCGAAATATTAAACGACGTTATATTCAAACATAAAATACGATAGTGTATCAAAAAATTTTAAAACTTATATATTTCTACTTTTTCATTAATAACTTGGCAATGCCAACATCGATCAACTAACATAATAGTTTATTTCGAAAAGCAACCAGAAAATTGTAATAATACTGGCTATAATCAATGTTGCTATTAGTATTTAATGTGACGGCATATAGTTTAGCTTCGGCTAAGTATTTTAGGCAAAAATAAAAGCTATGTAATTTAATAACTATAAAGTAACCTTTATGAGATTAATAATCCTATATGTATGAAGTATCATGGGATTTTAAGTCGAATTTCGTCGAAATGTACCCGAAAATATATCGATATGATAATCAATTTCACAATCGACTTCTTAGCATCAATGTAAACGTATGAAACATATAGTACAAAATTTTTTTTAACTGCTGTTCTTACCTTACCTTTTAGGGTGCTAAAGCGTTGGGATGCATCATGAAACGGAAAGTGTCGACCTGATATATTGGGGTGCGCGGTCAATTATGTAGACCAAAACTATGTGTGGTATCATATAAAAATTAAATCTTGGATTTTTTTATAATGTAAATCTGGGGTGCGCGGTCGATTATGTAGATCAAAACTATGTGAACGAACATTTATAGATGTGGAGAACGAATTACCTTATTTTTTTACAAATGTCTTGGTATGTATCAATTCTTAAACATATTTATAACAAAGTTACGTTAAAAGATTTTATTCTGAACTTCTATGTTAATACTTAAAATTCGAATGAAAATTTAGTCAAGGCAAAAAGAAAAAAGAAAAAGAAAAATTGGTTGATTTTTATTTTAAAATACGAAATCTTTTAACGTAACTTTGTTAGAAATATGTTTAATATTAATTTCAAGTTAAACCATTTGAACAATCATCCTTTACATCTAAAATAATAGTAATCATATATAAACCAAATATTCTTTAATATATAGTAGTAATCATATATAAAATTTATCACTATAAGTACAGCTTCGATAATTGATTTTTATATGATATACCACATATAGTTTTGATTAAACGCTACAACGACTCCACTGATAAATGTGTGTGTGACTAACCAAATCACTTGATCAAGTATAACAAAATATAATTGGTTAAATTTTTAGCATCGATATACAATATTGATCTAAATCATATAAATTAAATGAAATACTGTATACCGATACTGTCACTTTTTTTTATAAAATGCAAGTTGACACTCGAAATATTATTAATGCACTTCAACACATTAATCTCGTAAAAATAAGGCAAGGGCAACGGTTAAAAATCGACAAAGACTTCCGTTGATAATATTCAAAATATTGTATAAAGGATACACATGTCGGATAAATACAGTAATATTATTTTTTTATTATTTAATAATGGTAATATAATTGTCTTTAATAATCATCTCATGATATATAAGAAAAATTTTTTTAGCGCAGAAAATAAGGAGTGGGGAACTAGCTCAGATGGTAGAGCGCTCGCTTCGCATTATGAGTCTGCGAGAGGTACTGGGTTCGATACCCAGGTTCTCCAAATCCGTGTTTTTTTAGATTTGATCCCTCCCATTAAGGAGATTTAGCACAAAATTTCTACTTCATATTTCATAACGTTAGCGTCAATAATTTTGAATGTTTCATGAAAGAATTCTTATTTAACTGTTTAGGAATAAAATAAATGATATATATTTATTAGTATCGTTATTTGATTTTTTTTTTTTTTTTTAAACGTATGTATATATATTTTTTTAAACGTTTTGTTTTTTTACATTTTCCTACCCTTTAATAAATATTTTAATTCATGTGTAATTATTCAGCTTAAGATTACTTGAATTTAAATTTTTTTTAACCCTCGAATAAATAAATTTGAAATTAACGATTTAAAGTATGTATATAGTAATTATGCAAAGTCTTAGCTACAATGATAATGGATTCATTTAAAACCATTATACTAAGTGGAAAGAATAAAATATATGAGAGCGTTATACTTTAATCAAAATCTCATAACAAAGGGTTAATTTTTAAAATGCCATGCAATGTAAAAAATGTAAAGACGGGATGGGATGGATCTACCATCTACATTAGTATAGTAAAATAGTAAAAAAGCTTTTTACAAACGAAAAAATTATAATTATCAAAAATTTTCTAATACGTTAATTATGCTTTATTATTACCTTCAAATAAAGAAAAAATTATAAAATATTTTATTTGAACGTATTATTACATTTTACATCGCTATTACTAATTCTAAACATCTTATATATATATATAAATGAAATACAATATAAATAAGAATTCTTTCATGAAACATTCAAAATTATTGACGCTAACGTTATGAAATATGAAGTAGAAATTTTGTGCT